ATTTGTTCGCTGGACACTTAACAGGTTGCAGTCTTCTCTGTGTACAAGCCTTCAAAAACAGACTGCACTGTGTGTATGACATGAAAAGCTCTTTTTTCTTTGAACGTATTTGCCTTCAGTCTTGGGGAGCCCCGTTGTAAGTTGTCTCATTCAGAACAGCTGGATACATCTGGCAGGATAGCTGCTTTTAGAATAAAGATAGGTTTTTGCTTACACTTGATAAACTCATAATAATAAATCAACTAGAGAAAAACTGATAGTGTGAGAGAGATCTTTCTTTCTTTTTTGATTAGGAAAATAACTGTTGTGAACAGGAAACAAAAAAACCACACTTCAGTACTTTTCTCCTGCAACCTGACTCAGACGTTTTTATTTTCTCTTATGTTGAAAAGACATTCTAATATGAGAAAACTCAGTCTAAGGAACTCTGGAAAGGAATTTTTCATGATCTGTGTCCTTCTGGGTAGTAGATGCTAATGCAGTCTGAAATCTTTAATTTAACATTAGCTGTTGCTTATCACTGTTGTTTGTTAGAGATGTGTTGCACTTGTTATGTGGCTGGTTGTTCCCTTTCTATTTTTATTTTCCAAATTGTTGCTGAATTTTAAGAACTTTGTTTGTTGTGTCTCTTTCCTCTCTGAACCGGTGCCCATTACTGTCCATTCTGTGTGTAGTCCAATGAAAACAGGTCTCCTGCTTTACTTGCCGTTTCATGTTGTAATTGGTATAAGACAAAAAATAAATTTCATCTTAGAAAATCTTTTTGCATTTTCTTTATGTTGAGAATATGACCGAATCAAAAAGAAAATCTTTCTTTTACTTTTTTTTTTTTGCCTAAATGGACTCCGTCTCTTCTGAATTTCAGGGCTTTGTCTTCTTTTGTTTTTGTTTTAGTTCAAATACATTATTAGCCTATTTACATATTCAAGATTTTGTGGAAACTTTGTACAAGTTGGTTTCTTTCTTGACAATCCTATCTACAGAGAGGAATTTTTGGCTGTGCAGCATGTTGTATCACCATCCTGCCCACATAACAGTCTGCTCTGACAACACAAGTGACTGGGTGGAAGTAGGAGCAGCCACATGCCTGCTGTAGTTCATGCCAGTTTCTGACATCTGGCTGAACTCACTAGCAGAAAATGGTTTAAATCACCTTTCCTTCCCTTCATTTACACCTTGAACTTTCTGAGTTTTGAATGGACCAAGGAGCTCCAACTATGTATTTTTAAAGCATGCTCAGCATGAAGATTCCCTGTGCATGTCAGGCATAACTACTGTAAAATAGGAAAGGGATGTTTTGACTAAGTGCTTTTTTTTTTTTTATGGATGTCCTCTTTAGCAGCTTTTACTTTAGAATATGGCAAGTGACAACGCTTTAAAAGTGTATACTGATGTATCAGAAGTGACAGAGCAGCTCTTTTTCAGGACATGAAGCTTTTTTCTTTTCCAATCAGGTTTTTTACCTTCTGCTTTGTCAGCACAAACCAACTGGAGAGTTTTACTATGTTACAAAACCAGGAAGTGTTATTTTAAACCAGGAAGTAAAATATTCAAAATGCACAAAATCCTGGCATCCTGAAATAGAAACAAAATAGAAGTGGGGTTTACTTCATGTGATTTTTTTTTTTCCTTTTCTGATGCAGATTTATTATTTTTTTCTGATATTCTTTAACTTGCTTTTTACCATGTTAAGAGAAAACACTTTTTGTTTTCCTGAGCTATTAAGAAATGTAGCAATTTAAAAAGAACAGAATAAGGAAAGTATAAAACCCCAAGATTTTAGGTTTTTAAGTGTTTCAAATTATTATTGTAAGGAACATTAATAAAAGCATTTGATGTTTAACAATAATTATTATCAATCTGTTAGTTTCCATCAATGGTAACTTTTCATAATTTTATATCTACTGCCCTTGTAGAGTTGTACAGCTGTAGCTGGAATTACTTTTGCCCATTTAAACTGATCCAGTCAGCTCTTTTCTCAGATTTGATGAAAATACTGCTTTGTAGGCAATCCCCATTAATTATAGAGGTAAACTGCAAGCTTTTAAAAATGTGAATATTTCCACAACACTGGGGCCGATTTATGTAATTTTTGGTGTCACAGAGCTTTGAATGACACCTTTCTCATTTTGTGCAAAAGAGACAGTGCAGGATGTTTAGATTATGAAGAATGGGAAGAACCTGGTAATGCTGTTATGCAGTGCTACAAGTTTGCTTCTCACAATCTTCTCAATATAACTGAAATTATAACAACATAAAATCACTTAAGGTAGCACATAGTGCTTGCAATGGGAAAATTCTCCCCTCAGTTTTTGCAGATTGTAACTGTCTTTGCTTTCTATCTACAGAAAGCTGAAGTGTTGATTTGAAAACTTAGGTTCTGGGTCCCTTTATCATACCAACATTAAAGATTATTAGAGTGTGAAAAGGTATTTCCAGCTGTTGCTGAGCCAACCAGACTCTGGGGAGAGTGTTAACATTCACTGTTAGAGCATGCTGTGCTTTACTAAAAGCTTGTACAAATGAGGGTGTGTTTTGGGGATGTTGGAGTGATAGCAGGGTATGTGTGTGGAGATGCAAAGCAGAAGGATCATGTGCTGTCGCTGTGCATAGTGAATGAAGGTCAGCAAAAGAGCACCGGTTCTGCATATAGTGGGGCAGCAAGCTACACTGGTCACCATTTAAGAAGTGGACTTTTGTGGAGTTCTCTAGCTTTGACAATTCTTTCATTAAAGAATGAATGCAAACGAAAGCTGATCCCAGAAAACTTGCTTCTTTTAATACAAATTCTTCAGTCTGATTAAAATCAAGATGTGTAATTCTGGTGTAACTTCTGGGAATATTTGCTAATTCAAGATAATTAAATCTTCTTCTTCAAACTATTTTTTTTATTTGGGAAGGAAAATAGAAATATTCAGTTTTGAGTAGGCTAAAGTGAAATATTTTTTGTTATAATGTATTTTTGCACTTTTCAGTTCATGATCAAGTTTTGGTGAGAAACATTTCACTTCTGTGAGATGTTTCCATTTTATGATTTTTTTAATATCCTATTTCAGTTATGTTAGGACTACTAATGATCTGAAAGATTATCTCGCCAACTCTAGAATAGGCCTGCTGATTTTATTTCCTATTGTCTTTAATTCTATCCTAAATGAATCAGGCAGTAGAATTGCACTGTTCCTATATTATTAATATGTTCAAGTTAATTAATCTCTCAGCTAAGAGAAGAGGTAAGCAGAGAGCTTTCATTGAGTTACTTACGATTTACAAGTTTGGATGGCAATATTGGGTTGCACTTCTCAGGAGATGCAGTGTTTTCTTCATCTGTTACGTACTCAAAGTTAATAATGAACATCATTGCTACTCCCTCTTGATTTTTCACTGGAATTACGTGGGTGTTGCAGATGAAGGTAGACCCTGCATAAGGAAGGTTAAAAAAAAAAATAATGTATATATATATATTAATCAAAGGAAACTTATTTTTAATTCCAGTTACACAAACAGATATTGAAGGATATTTCCTTGAATTTAACAATTGAACATCAAACTCGTTATAATTTAATCAGGTGCATTCTCACAGCAGAAGATATATCTTTCAAAATGATTTATTAGATTATTACCTCTTCTGAAAGATCTCTTCTTTGAAATGTCCATTTTATTTTTTGTTTTATATTCACTGGAAGTAGCTATATAGACAGACTTGTGATGCATTTTGCACCAAAAGTAGCAATGCAAACACTATTCCAACAAGAGCACTTGAAGAAAGCAGAACCCTATTCTTCTAAATGTCAAGCATTCTTTGAGCTTTTGGTTCTATTACAACAGGATGAATCAGTCATTAAATATTTATGGATGTAAATATATCACTATTCTTATTTTAGCTCTCATTCCTTTGGGGGTTGTATAATGTTGCTTAGGTTTGTGTTAAAAATTGTATTTGTTATCAGTCTGATCTTGCAGAGTTTTGTATTCCATCACAAGAAAAACTTCTGAATGTAATAATTTTCAATAATTTTCTGGAGTATTTAGTTTAAGTATTATATGCAAGTTGAAGCACTAGGAAGAAGTACTCTCATCTGCATAAATACGAGGCATACCCTACTTACATTGAAATGAAAAGGTGTAATTTCATAACACCTCTACTTCTCAGTGTTCTTTCTCAAATGCCTAATTGAAGATGTAAAAAATGCTTTTTGTTAATTCTTGTGATGTAACTTTCTTTTAAAAGAGTATTCATTTGACAAGGTCATTAGGTTTATTTAATTCCCTTTTAAACTAATGGAATATAGCATTTCCAAAAATAATGAGATTGCTATGAGCAATACAGTGATGAGCTAAATGTTTTGTGCAAACACAACTGTGAGATAATGTCTTGTCCTGATAACTGGGGACTGGCTTAGCGTACATCATTTGCAATTTATCCATTCAAATACAATAAAAACTGAAACTTGACAGGCAGTGCAGTTTGACAAAAATGGATTCTGATCTACGTTGCACTTTTTCTCTATTGAAGAGATAGATTAAAGATTAAAATCACAGCAAAGCTTAGATTCTGGTTCGTCACACTTAGTGTATGGAACGTATGGCAGTTCAAGCTATGTATAATATTGATGTTCTGGCCTTTCAAGTTTTGCAGCTGCGCCTTCAATCCATTTAATAAAACAGTTAAGCTGTGGCACTTGCCACAGTTTCCATGGTAACAAGCTCAATGACTTTAGTAAACAGAAAATAGGCAATTTAAGACTGTTCCATTAGAGCTAAAAATAGAAGTGCTTCAGGCCAAGCATTGCAACATAGACTGGTTAAACAGAGGGTCTGGAGAGAATTTAGAAGTAATCCTTGTGTTTTCAGCCAATTAATAAAAACACATATTGAGTTTAAATAGTCAAAATTGTTTTTATTAGTAACTTGGAAATATAAGCTAAATTGCGTTAAAAAAAAATAATAATAATTCCCGGTGCAGCTTGTGTTTTGACATGCAATTTTTATAAACCGAGCAGATATCTCCCAGCCTGACACCTCTGCCTCGAACAAAGAAAGGACTGGAGCTAGTACCAGCCTGGGGAGCATTTGGATTTGAAGAGCACTGAACTCCAGTGGTTGAAATGTTGATTAGGTTTTGCAAATGAGCTACACACCTCTTTGAAAGTTTTCCTACCTTTCAAAGACAATAATTTGAAATGCTTCCCATAGTGCTGAGTAATGACAGTATCTCTCTATTAAGTAGAAAATTCTGCTCTCAAACACTTACAAGCTGCTTTTGTACTGGACCTAGGGGTTTGCATGTCTGTGAACAGACACAGAAGCCATTTAACAGTCCACAATGTAACAACGTGCTCCAAAGATCCCAGAGTTAAAATTGAAGCTGTACATAGATACAATATTTGGAGCACATGGAATGGGAACAATCCATTCAGCACTGTTCCTTTGGAAGCCAGTTGCACCAGCAGGCTAGTGAGCCCGGTGTACCTCTTCAGGCAAAGTTTTTCAAAGGCAATTGCACTTTAAGTGGTAGAGAATATTCATGTTGTGCAAATGATTGAAATTACAATTCCACAACTTGAGCAAACCACAGTACCTCTTGTAGTGGCTGTTGGTTTTTGTCTTTAGTACAGATGTGATTATTTCCTATACTCTTACTAATGATCTCTATTGAAATTGCAAGAAGGAAATGCAAAATAAGGAAAACCTTAGTGTGACTGAAATGTAACAGTTGAGTATAGAGAAATTACTAGCAAAATCAGAAGATAGGCTTTGAGTAATTGAAGTTGATGGCAATAAATTAAATACAAAGTAGCTTGTTTATAAACAATCTTTTCATGTGTTTGCACTCCATCATTCAATTACTTTGTTGTGCTCACCATGCTTGCTTTTTTTTTTTTTTTTTTGTCTTTATACTGAAATATTTCAAGAGTAAGAAATAATTCAGATAAAGAAAATTTGTGGTGATGTTTCTAAAACTTGCATTTCTTGTACAACGGCACAGGACACATAAATGATATAATCAGAATAATAATGGAAATTATGCTATTGTAATTATTAGATTCAATATGCACCAATGTTTCTGGGTTTTCTGCAGGAATATTTCTGTTGGGCTCTTTATAGAATCATTGGAGGGGATAAAGTGAAAAGCTGGAACTGTTTGTCAGCTTGAATTCCTTGGTTATATGGTTTTGTTTTATTTTATGATACTTTAAAGTCCTCTCTTTATCTAGTTAAATTAGTGGCAAAATATCAATATCTGAAGAACAGATGTGGAAATGATTCTGTAGTTACGTATTCACAAAACAAACAAATGACTGTCAAGGCATGTGTATTGGTGACAAATATTTAAGAAATAAAAATATATTTGGTTTACATAAGGATATCTTTCATTATCAGGGCAATTCTGATGAATACCTTGTGGCTTAGCACTTAAAGCTGGTTTGCTTCACAGAAGAAATACAAAGCAGGCACATCAAATCAGTTTATCTGCTTCATAAAATGTGTTTACCTTTCCAGTGATTTTCTATAGAGGACTTTAGAAGATGCATCCTAACAAAAATCTGTCCTAGATAGAACCAGTCATTTATTTAAACTATAATAGCTCATTTTATGAGCATTTAGGAGAGTACAATACAATAATGCAAGAGTGAAGGTCCTGCATTCTCATGCACAAAACTGTCACAGACGTACTTAGAAAAATTACCCATCCCAACCGACTGTTATGATTCAACCTTCCTGGGAACAGTGTTTTCATATGCCATTACGTATGCTAAAGGATCTCTGAAAGATGAGATGCTGTGGCATTTAGATGATTATCTTCATTCTTCAGAAGCCCCATGTTTTGTATTGCCAGAACCCTAGAAAATCTGTCATGGCTCTGCTGGATGGCTCAACCATTCTGTTGCACTGAATGAGTGTGATAGCTGTTAAGTGCATTTCACTATAAAAAAACTTGGACTCCCCACTTCGGTGTGAATTTAAGGACTGACTTAATTGCGGCTGAGAGTGGTTCCAATGTATTTTGGAAGCAATCTTGGCCCTCTGTGCCAAAGTATTTATGACTTCTTTTTTTTTGTTGTTCCTAGAATTCCTCTGGACAACTGATTAAGTCAGGAAGTCTTTCTTTCTTAAGTAAGAAAGAAAGGTATTGAGTATGTTTTCTGTGTGCATACATATATTTCTGGATGAGCTGACCTCATGTAAGCATTTTCTGGGCTTATGATAATCTTGTGCTGCTGCAATGTACATGTAATCTAGTGTAGGTAATAGCCATACAATCCATAGTGACTTCTGTTTATTTAAAACTGAAGGTAAGAAGGAATAAATCAGACAGAAAAAAAGAGAGAGCCAACAACTTGTCTACTAGGAACAGCGAAAAAGACAGAAATTAAAGGAATAGATACTGTACATATTTTCTGAACTAGATGGTCTTGCTTTCTGCTTCAGTACATATTTGAAAGAAACACATAGGTGAATCTTCCATAAATGTTGTAGGAATTGTGCAAAGTGACAATTTGATGATAGGGACCGGTGAAGGAAGTTGGATATTCTTTAAAGTTTTATTAAATAATCACCTTGATTATTTTGGAAATAACTACTCTTCACTTCTCCACAGTACGATCTCGCATTTTGTGATCAAAATAAATGCTCCTATCATCTTCTCTCTGAGGTGGAAGCTTTGAACGTATCAATTACAAATATAGTGTCTATTTCTTGCAGTTTAATTTAAAATCAACTATCAACTGTAGTAGAAATGCGGCTAAATATACCTGGCATTAAATTGTTTACTAAGCTTAGTCTTAATTTTATTGCATTTTAATGAAGAGGAGCACAGGCAAGTCTGTGTAGTTCCATTTTATTAGTAATATTTTTTCATAGGTTCATTTTTTACTACTCTGCTATTATTAGAGTTTGATTGCTGTAACAGTAAGTAGAAACTCAGTATTAACCTTAAGAAAGAGCTAACTTCCATTAAAACAAGGAAGACCATGTAATAAACCATAACCAATTGCACTTTGTTCTCATGTGTCCATGTTCACATCCTTAGTCTTGAGTCCTTTTTTCATAGCATTGATGACTGGGAGAGATAATCCCTGGGGAGAATTATTGTGTAAGATCAGACTACCTCTTGGTTTTGCCTATCTTTCATGTAGTTCTTGTCTTTGGGGCAAGAAGCCAAGGCATGGCTCTCTATTAACTCCTTAATTTCCCCAGTTCAGTGTTCTCTTCCCCTTAGCACACTCAGCCTGTCCTCACAAGAGAATGTATCTCTACTTCCAGAGAGCCAGGCCCTTTAAGTTAATTACTGTTTATTTAGGTACTGGACAATACTCAGACTTTTTAAATACAGAAAATTTAAGTGAAAGCCAATTTGTCAAATATTGAGATGTATGCATTGTGCTGTGTGTACTCATCATGACCAATCAGGGTCTGAAAATTTACTTCTTTCATTTCTATTCAAGGCAAGCCAGAAAAAAAGGCAACATATCACAGCCAGTCTTATTTTCAGTGGATTTTCTGGAAAAGTTTGCTTCCTTTCTGAAATGAGACTTTATTCTTACAGTGTTAAGTTGAAACTAGTCACGTGCAGATCTTGCCAAGTTTTACAAGATTTTATGTTAAAGGGATCCAAATGGCATTACAAATCCATTTCTGGATCAGTGATAACTCTTTGCTAACAGATTTATGCTACCTGGTCTGTCTGTTTGTGTAATAAAAATGAGTGGAAGCATGACTGAAGCTGCCCTGAGAAAACTACTCAGCCCTTAGTGACATAGAATCAGATCATTGGAGATGGATACCACCTTGGTACTTGCTCAGTTTAGTAACAAGTCCATGAAAGAAAGATGTTTTTACTAACTCTTTGCAGTTTTGCAAGTGATGTTGTTTATTCAGACTCTTTAAGACATCTGAGCTCTGCTTAAGTTGTATTAAAACTTTTGATTTTAAAGAAAGAATCCCCTTTTTATGTCAACCTCATCACCACCTCTCTCTCCCTCCCTTCTCCCCCATTTATTATGCAGCTTAGCACAGGAGAAATAGAAGAAATTTCATGCTAAGGCTAAAAGTGTTGGTATACCATACGGAGTGTCTGTTCCAGGAACACCAGAATACATTGCGAATGTCTGTTCTTGCCCTGCATAGTATACTGCTATTATTTTACTTTTAATTTAAGCTGGTAGGACTGAAGCACAAAAACAAGTGTCTTATCCAAAACTGCATCAAAAATGAATAAAGAAACTAAGGGTAATGTAGAGGATTTCTAGATTCCATTTTCACAATTGAATTTGTTGATACCAGCCCTATGCTATTAAAATGTCTGGCATATTTCCATGCAGAACTTTGGGTAATGGGCTGTACAATCCTATTTATCTTTTACCTATATCTTACATTGGTGTCCTTATGTCACCATTTTCAGTTCCATCTGATGGAAAATGAACTACTTGTGTGGCAAGAATGGGGAATTCAGAAGCTTTCCATTGAATATACTGCAGATGTATCTGTATGACTGACTCTTTAAAAAGATTTATAGGAGAAGAACAACTAAAAATAGATGGCAGGTTGAAATATATTATGCTTCTCTTCAATTGAATAGCTATTTTTAAGACAGATAGACAGAGATGAGGAAGAGTATATTTGGCTGATATTTATGAGTGAGATTTCAGCAATTAAACAGGAGCTATTCTCTTTGACGTTTCACTCCCCTCTCCATATCAAATAGGTACCCATTCTATCACTGAAATGGTTGCTGATACCAGGATTTGATTAAAGGTCTGAAATGGGTTTTGTAATATATTAAATTACCATGTTTAAAGATGAGGGATTAATTTTTAAACTAACAAACCAAGAAAACATTTCCCTCTGGAGGCTGTGGACAAATTTACTGTTGGAGTGTGCTAAGTAAATATCTAATTTGCTCTTCCTGAAATTGCATTTATACTGTAATTCCATAGCTAGGTAAATACTACTCCACTCATTGCTTCAGCATTTCTTACACTTCTCCATTGGCACAATTATTACCTATCTTATATGCTTACCCTAGTAGAGCTGTAATCATTAACTGTAATACTAAACACATTTTATATTGCAATACTATTTCCTAGTGCTTTGTTATTTAAGCATATATAAACATATACAGAAGACACAGAAGAATTAAATATTTGGCATGGAAATAAAAACAAAATGAAAAATAAACTAGCAGAGATGTTTAATGCTCATAAAGTAGATACTAAAAAAAGAGCCTAGGGTGAAAAATACTGAAAACTATTTTTTGAAGGAGTAAAGACTTATGTAAGTTCCACAGCTGATGCAGAAAATGCAGTATAGGCTCTTTTCTTTCTACCTAGTTCACCTCAGAGTTACATTTGAGTTTTGCCAGGGGGGATATGTGTGGAGCACAGGCTGAATGAAGGGAGTTTTACATGCTCTCTCAAACTGATATTTCTTGGAGATAAAGCCTGATATACACATGATGGGGTGAAAGCTGGGTCTGAAATTGCTTTCTGAATGAATTCTTATTAATAGTTTTTTTTTTTACAAAGTTGGTATGTTAGTTGGAATAATTTAGACCCTAAATTTTGCCTAAAACCTTTATTACGCAGGCTTTTTCTTCCAGAAGAACATAGCTAGTAGCTCTGCTTTTGAAAAGCTGTCTCTGATTTGTTAATGGGAATGTTGTTGTATTTGCAATTATTTTGCCTGATTCCTTGCACCTGATTGCGCAATGCAGAATATGTTATCAGATGCTTAGCAGTTAGGCATGGAAGGTCTGAGCATGTTGCACTGACTACATCTCTGGATACCTTAACCATTAAGTCTCTAAGCGCTTTGCAAGCTGTACTTCGAATAACCAGAGAGGATTTTATTGTTGTTCGTGTTATATATATTACAGACTGTATGGACCATAAAAGGTTAGAAAAGAACTTCAAGATCAACAAATCCAACCATTAAGCTCACCTACTGAGTCCCATCACTAAACCACATCCCTTGGAGTCGTACATGCATCAGTTAAATATCTCCGGGGATAAGGACTCCACCAGTTCCTTGAGCAGCCTGTCCCAATGATTAGCTGTCCTCTCTGAGAAGAAATTTTTCCTAATGTTCATAGAATCATAGAATCACTCAGGTTGGAAAAGACCTTAAAGATCATTGAGTTCAACCATGAGTCCAGTCTAAACCTTCCCTGGCGCAGCTTGAGTCCATTTTCTTGCATCCTATCACTTGTCACCTGAGAAAAGAGATCAACACCCTCCTTGCTGCAACCTCTTTTACGCTTTTGTTTTCTTTGGACAAATGTATGCTTGATTATTGTACACTTGCAGTGCAGTTGTG